CGATGATCGTTATTCTATAGGAACTCCATATATGGTTCTTATCATTTTATACAAAGTTGGTTTTCCAAATATGTCGATTACACAGTAGGCCTGTAAATTGTATAGTGATGTAACAGTAGATGCGTGTGGGGATAGCGGCGATTGTCATACCTGGTTTATCCACCGAAATTTTGTTTTAAATCCGTCCTTTTCAGTCGTTGGTTACTATAACTCCCTTTGTTGCTGATTGTGTATGGAAATAATAATCTAGTATATAAATTAATCCCCCATACTTTTAATGACGAGAGAGGAACTCGTTAAAACTATACAACAAGGGCTTATGGAAAAGGACGTTGTATTCGTTTGAAGATATGTGAAACTATAAAATATTTAATACTATTGTTTTGCGTCAGTTCAACAACCCCCGACGTTTCTAGTTTGATACACTGGGAATCCATAGTTAATGTGATTCGTATATCCGTCGTTTGAAGCTGTGATTAATATCCGAATTATGAGATGAAAATGGAGGCTAAGTTCATACTGTGTACACTGAATTTAAATGTAATACAATCTACAAAATTCCTGGTCTGGATGTATTTGAGATCGAAAGATAAGCTGAGATTTATTAAAGAAAATTATCAAATAAATTGAAAATTCTACGAATACTACATGATCTTATTGCAATTGGTTATGCATTTAACATACTTTGATTCAATAAAACATTTTTGCGGTTTTATATTCAACAATAATCGCATTCACGTTAACTCTATTGGAATTTTAATCAACTAAGTCTTGTATGATTGTTTTTTTTTTTTTTTTTTTTTTTTGTTTTTTTTTATTATCTTATGTTGTTATTACTCAAACATGATCCGGTACTCATTCAAATGTTTCAGCTCATTCGGAAGACAGAATCTTCAACAAATAAAACAAAAATTAATTTCTTTATGTCACATAAAAAAGTCGTAAATAAAGAAAAGTAATTCTATGACTATAATTATTGTAGTAATAAATTTACTTGTCTTTATTTACTTATTATTGAAAATAATATATTAATTTCAATAATAAGTAAGAATCTGGGATAATCACATGATATTGGCAGCTGGCCAATCAGAGCAAGTCACTGCCGTCACCATGATCACTATGATTTTGTTCTGTATATAGGTCTACTATATGATACATTTTTAGTTATTAAAGACATCATATGACATATCGGCGACTTCAATTCCTAATACTGTAGATGTGACCAAAGTTGTAGTTCCTTTTTACTCCAGTCTCTTCTAACCGCTATTTTGAAATTAAGACATCGTGTAATTTGGTGTCAGCATGATTCAGAAAACCAACGTTAAAACCAAAAAAGAAGGTAAATTAATAATTAGTAATCCGCCAACACAACTAATGTTATTTTAAAGAACTATTATGACTAACAAAAAAAAAATGAATATAATCAAACAGTTTGGCTCCGCTGGTAAGCTAAAAATGTTTATTAGTAAAGATAAAGGTAGGAGAATAACCCATAACTTGCATCGTCATTATGCTGAATTCCGTATGGGCGTGGTCCGTGACTACCTAGCAGCCGTAAAGAGGCGCTTCATGGTAGGGGCTGAAGTGAACCATAACATCGGGGTAACCCCCTATTCTTCCAAAAGATGCAATGAATTATTTAAAGTGCACACGAGCCAGATGTATACACTGGGCCTCCATTTTAAGTCCTTATAAGAGAAGACTTGGTTCTACCAACCGAACCATTGGCGAGGAGTGACTGGAACCAGCTCCGATGTTAAGGTTATAGCTAGCGGCGCCCCTGCCTCACCGTTCGGCCACTCGACTCGCCCTCAACAGAGGACGCTGCACAGTCCTAAATAAAGCGCACGTCTATATTTTGCAAATATTTCGGCTTAAGAATGGAAATTTTAAAAAAAATAGCATAAGCTCGCTCTTTATATTGATCTGTATATTTGTGTATTTTAATTGTTGCAACCTTCGAGTTTCAGAAAGCCTTTAGTTCACAAATTTTTCAGTTTACGAGAATTATACTGTAGTATGATTCACTGAAACCGTAATAACTCGCCGTAAAACATAATTCAAAAGTCCTCCAATTACTCAGGACCTAAAGCGACATCGCCGTCATTGTGCGAAATAAAAGTAAAGTAGAAGTTTTATGCCTATATTCGTATTTGTGAGTTGTTTATGTAAGGTTAATTCCAAATCCTTCGTATTACGTACTTTGACTTAGAGCTTTCCGATTATGTTTTCTATGTCTTCATCTCAGTTTTAAGTTAAAGCTTTACATCAAATTTATTTTACCAGCCAGGTGACAATGATAGCGTGTTAACATTACCGAATTACCGTTAGGACTAATGTATCGAGCGTTATGCTTAGGCGTGTATGAAATTGGATCGTGAAATGATGCGTTATCGTAAGTGATTCATCATTTTACAAATTGATAACGTCAACCATGACAGTCACAAATATGCTTCAATTAGTGACGGATTGACAGGCGTATTTTATCAAATTAATAAATTACACACTTGATAATGAATTGCTACGTCTGCATCTACGAATAATGCTTTGTCATTTAGCCTAAGTCACTAGTGACGATTGACAAAATTGACCCATCCACTGACTGCGTCCATTTGGATAGTGTTCTATTTTTGGGTCCTACTAAACACCGCCCGAGTTAACGAGTTACGCTTTTTGGCAGCACACCGAAACACCCGAATGTCTATAAAATTAAATTAATGTTTTATTAAATATTTAACTTATTTCTGTCGGTCAAAGGTATGTATTCTTGAGCAAAAAGTCATTATCTATCCTCGGGCGTTATTTATTTGTAAAATACTAATCATATATACACTCGGGCGTTGAAAAATATTGTCGGGCGGTCTCCGGCGGTCTCGGACGGTCTCGGGCGGTGTTTAGTAGGACCGCTATTTTTGGCAATTAAATCATTCTCACATAGGCCATACGTGAAGAATAATTTTGGTTCAATAGCTTACACAGGTGCTATTGTATTGCATTTATTATTAAATCATTTATTCACACTGGTAATTCAGGCCTATAGTATTTAAATATAAATATCGGAATTATCTGCGTATTCACACTGGTACTATCTTTTAATTATTTATATTTCGCTTTTAAGACTACAATACTGTAACCAAGACAGCTTCACCGGCATGCCTCATTCGAACCTATAGGGGGCGGTATGTGTATTAATGTGTCTATCAGGATATTAAATTCATTTGTATACACCATATGTTATAGTAGGCTAAATAGCTCTATGGTATACACACACAAATAAATAAATAATAATAACAACAGTGCTAAAATAGGAACATGATGTTATAATTGTATCGGGCATAGCCCGTCCTTTTCAGTTGCATGAAAAGAGTGTCTCTGATGGGATTCTAACCCACAACTTCTCACTGTTAAGGGAAGTATCATACCATTAGACCAGGGAGACCTATAGGACGCACAGATCTCACCCACAGGCACTCTCATACAACATACTAAATCGCTTGTATATAGTGGAGCTATGGTTAAGCTAGAAAGGTTTATAGGTCGCAGCTTGAAAATTATAATAAATAATATTCAAATTAGGTTTTCTGCGTAGCACCGTAAACATAACATAAACAAATAGATAGTAATATTAACTTTGCTCAAATAAGAATGGCTGATGTTATAATCGTATCAAACATAGCCCTTCAAAGTTCTCTTTTTTATTAAGCGGGGGTCCAGAGGTCCCTAACGGGGGTCCTTTTCCCCCTCGGTTATAAGATGGTAGACAGACATAACAAGAAATGCAAGACACTGACTAAATTGAGACATTGATATTTTATTAATACGAAATTGTTGGTAGCACCTTCTACCTTCATCAGCGTACGAATTGTTTTATATCACATAATATATCACATTAGGATATAATTATATAACTATTTACATCACATATTATACCTCCTTATGATACACTGTATACATAGGTATACATATAGGTATACATACACACATAATATATATATATATATATATATAATATAAATCATCAAAGGTACATAGTTTGTTTATACCACATGTAACAAGATGTAAGATATATATATATATATATATATATATA